AAATGTGTTTCTTATATTAAGTGTGTGATTCTAATGTTATGAGCTTAATCTGTACCAAATATTATTGAGCAAAGTGGTGTATGGATTTCATAACCATTATTTTACTAGAGACCGTTGCATTAATTTAACCACGGGCTCTGTTGCTAGTCTATTAAATAAATAACATTAGGTTTAACGAAACGAGTACCAAGGTTTGCTGCTACAAAGAAACTAATTAAGTGTGTTTTTTTTTAGTAAAATATTGTTTAGTATAAAATAAATAAATCTGCAAAGTTTTATCAAAGTATATCCATAAACAAGGAAACTACAACTCTGTACCATTTTCTCCATAAGAATAACATGGGGATTTTAAATTTCCAATTTTTTTTAATTTTCCCCGTTACCAATAATCGTACAAAAACCCTTTGATATACCTAACTATTTGTTTTTTAAGCTCTTTAAAAAGGTCTAGAGAGAAATTGGAAAATTTTACGTTTTAAGGGTCAAAAATGAAAAAAAAACCAATTTTGAAAGTATAAAATAATTTATAAATAAAAAACTTTTCAAATGCCACGTTTTTAAACGCACATTTTTTCGCCCATAGTGCATCACTGTTAACAGTATATTTTAAATTCAACCATTATATTCTTTTCCAGCATGAAATGTTCTATAATTTGATACCAAGGCAGATTTTTTAACAATAATTTAAAATTTTACACTTTTTTTAATGGTGGCCAAAAAACCGTATTTTGCGTAACAGTACAAATGTATACTTTTAGTATGTTCTTTATAAGTGTATTACCTACCATTTCTAACTGGAATAATTTATGTTGCAATTAGTTCCACCTCAAACACTATTTCTACTGCACTATTACAGGCTGTGATAATCTTTAACCTTTGTTGTTAATATTATTTAACATTTAACCATAACCTTTGTGAACTCTCTCTCTACAAAACAGAAAGGAAACTTGAGAAAGGATATCTTAAAAAATGGAAATATCTTTCTTAAAGGAAACAAAGTGAGGCCATGACATCAGAATTATATCTGGTGCCACTACCACCTCCAGACCAGGAATATTATGTTATCTCTTCATCATTTCGAGAAATAAAAATATTAAAAATATCAGAGGGATTTCTTTAAAGTTACTGAGCTCTTAAGACTTATTTCTTATATGGATTTTCATAGTGTGAAATTCTACATGCAGAAATAATTGTAGATTGAAATAATCAATTTAGAGCTACCGAACATATGAGCTCAGTACTCGATATTGTCTAGGTGAGACCGGCCCATGTTACTCAGGGTTCAGGCAGAGTAGTTTATGGTGGTAGGTGGTTAAGGTTTATTAAATAATAGGGAAACCTACGGTTTTATTCTTATTTAATCAATTTTTAGATTCAATGTTGTTGATACTTATTTACCAGTCTCATTTAACCAGTAAACCACCAGTAGTACCAGTATTTGAGTAAGCTCATCATATTGCCTTGAAATTACTTTTATCAGTTTGGGAAATCTAAAAGTTGTTTCTAGTATTGTAAACTCGTAATTCTTATACCTGATTTTATAGCTTCCAACTTAAATAAAATTGTATCAGATTTTTTATAACCTAAAATACTATATCTTTGGATCTCATTTTGATTTATGTTTCCATATAAGTAGTTAAGTATAATTAACAAGAATAAACCTCAAAATATAAATTAATTGCGACGCTCGTAAGGTTTGTGTTTGCGAATAGCATTAATAATCTACCCTTTTGCTTAAACTATTATATCTATGAAAAAATGGAATGAAATGGACTTGATATCAAGTATTTTTCGATTCATAAAGTTATTCAGAGTCATCAAGAGAGAGTTGTTTATGAAACGACCATGTCTGTATTTCAACAATTTTCAATTAAACTGAACTGAGGGAAACTTTGAGCTGTGGTTTATCAGCCAACGATATTTTTAATCAAATAAATCCTTTCCAACTTTTTTCACAAGCGCATGTATTATATACATATTTAAATTTTGAGGTGTTATCTTTTAAGGACATTGTAAATAGTGTTTTCAGTCTCAGAATACAATTATTCATACACTGCAATATATTATGAACATAAAACGTTATTACTACTAACATAAACGGATTTACAACGAGTCTACTATTTTAGTGAAAGTTATTTAATATAAGGATATCTGAATCATGGAATAAATAGTAAGTGTCGTAGGTTTGAATTACAGTTTGACAAAAATCTTATATTAAATACTGTTTATTTTATCGCAGTAGAAAAATTATTAAAATACTTTCTTTAAAGTATAAATGTATGTAATAGTTTACATATTATTTAAGCATTAGAGTTTTAGGAGCATTAAAGTAATTCCTAGCAATAGATTAGCCATTTTATTTCCTGGTCCCGTAAATACTAGCTAAGTTTACAATATATTATTATTTATATTATTGTAGCGTGTTTATTGTTTATTTTTATGAGTAAATTGATTTCTCAAGCGATTCAATACTTAACTTCATCAAATCGCTTATGAAGCGTGAACGTGAAATAAATTCAAACCCAACGTGTAAGTTAAGAAGCTGTTTTTTATAGTAAGATGGAACTAGAAGATGATCACCATTTACCGCAGTTTATTTTGCTAGGTCGTTTGTGTGCCCTATTATCCATTATTACTAAACAGTGTGTGTACTAGACGGTGTGTGTGTATGTGTGTGTGCAGTGCCTACATCGCATGTGTCAAATCCCTGGAGCGTCGTATATTTGGTGCCATGTTACAATGGTCGGAAATTGTATATCTCAGCATATCGTATCCCTCTTTAAATACTAACCACCACATTCGTATACGGTATACCACAGCTACAATTCGTAGACCGTAGACGAAGTAATAGGCTGCCTGCTTCATATATACTGAACCAAGTTATAGTTATTATAAAGTATTTAATTATTTTTGATGATTAAAAAATAAAACCGTTGAACAAGGGAAGTTTTAGCACCAATCAGCTTAATTGACCGGGGATCCGTTTATGTCAATTGTGACGAGCAACACTCGTAGAGTTGTCATGTCCGCATTTTAAGCGTTACATGTAGTGAGTTTTATCAACGAACTGTAATATTGAAATATGTCATCCATTGATGTAAGGAACATAATATATGGATTTAAATATACCATAAAAGATATTAGGGTATCTGTAATAAATACTAACAAGTTTTAGTAAGGAAAATATCCGATGTTGCCAAGTCCTGTACGCCAATACTATTTTTCTTTTCAACAGAGTTTTTCCTTGAATCTAGTTAGGAATTGCGTCGTTGTAGTGAGTGGATACCTCTATTTATCTGACCCTCGCAATGATTATTAGAGTATTATCACTGAAATAGAGTGGCTGGAATAAGGTTTATGCATTTCGATAAAATCTAGCCGAATAAATCAAGCAGTTTCTTAGAAATATATTATTATACTAACGATAAACTACAACTGTAAAAAAAATAAAAGACAAAACAGTAAGCATACAATTTAAGTTACAATGTTTTTATATTATAAATTTAAGTTCCTTGGGACCGACCTTCGTTTTGGTAAAATCATTAGTATATCTGAGTGCAGTCTTTTGTTACGTAATTTATCAAATATTTTGTTATCTTTTATATGATAAAATTGCCAATTGTTGTTACTTCATAAGCACAGTAATAAATATTTAACAGACCATAAGACGATTTCAAAACGTAATTTAAACGCATGGTAAAGCCTAGTTTAAAAAGAGTATTATGGTGTTTTAGCTATGAAGTATTTTTAAAGCAAGGAATGTTTTGTTAAATGGTGTAATAATTCTAATAACATTATGCCTGTACTTCTGGCAGATGTTTTCCTGAATCTAGGAATGAACATAGTAAGTCCAGAACTATGTACAGTACTATAATAATACTAAAAATTGAAAACCATGAATTATATTAGGATGCTAAGATCATACATTTTCTCATTTTCTTAGTAAATCTTTTTCAAGTAATTATGGCAAGATTTTAAAGCATTTTTTTAGCACGTGTAGACAATACAGAAACAACGTGGTTATGAATGGAACCAATTTGCAAAACCATTGCAAAGTACACTGACACCATCCAAACAGGGTCGTGGAGAATAAAACACCAACTTCCGTTTTCCATGTAATTTTACAAAATAGATCAAATATCTATTCAATACAAATCATCGCAAAGAAATTGTTATTGTTGTCAATACATTTTGAGAATCCCAGATAGAAATATACTTAAGTAAGAATATACACATTATTTACAATATATCACATAAAAAATGTTTATTTACAACGTTAAACACATTATCATTGAAGCTCTTACAGAAATTAACAGTCGTTATCCTATTTATTAAAAACATCTAGCAGAACTATGATTTTTCTATCCAAGATAGTGTTTTAAGCATCGAATTTAAAGATATTTTCTAAATTCTCAAAATTTCTTGGATTCCATTACATAAAGTCGGTGAATTCAGTTGGCACAGCCTATTTGTATGAGTTTAAATTCATATTCTCTAAGTTTGTAAGTGGCACCAAATCAACATCGTCCTACTATAAACATAATTGACTTTCATTACAATTAATTATTTCTAAGTACTGTAACTGCTAATACATAGTTTTATTTTAACTTTGATATTTTATGTTACCTTAGGCTACAAACGTTTACATTAAATGTATCCGAGACAGCTATACTATATGTATAAACTTTAATACTTCCTATGTTTTAAGTTAATTTAATTACGATTAATCCTGAAAAAGGTTTGTACCAAATCTTAACAGAGCCACACATGAACACGTTACTCATTAGTACCTCCTGACAATGACGCAGAAATATAAGCTTCATTATCTATCGTAAAAATGAAGTTGTTTATTATGGCACTAAGAATAATAAAGATAATGTTTATATAATTAATAAAATAATTATTCAGTAAGCTAATTAAAAACCCCCAACTAGATATTTTTAACACATATAACAAATATGTTTTTAATTATTTAAAGTACAGTACATAATATATTGTTATCATAATATAAACATACTCGAGATAAAAAAATGTTTAATTCAATGCGGATAAAGACATTTATACAATAATTCATTTACCTATTTTGGCTGAAGGTCTTAAACTACAAGACCTTCATGCAAAATAGGTAAATCAATAATTATATAACATAGGCCTTGTCACTGGGTTCAAACAACAAAGACATTTAATTGCATATACACATAATTTTTAATTCCCACGAATGTCGAAACACGAAATATAATTGTTTTTAAACTAGGTAACATTTTAATTTTTGTTCAATTATTATCATGTAGTTTGTTTTCTTTTTACAACTTTCCTGAACAGGTAAATAGGTTGTCTTCTCGTGTATATTTCAATCATACTGTATATTTTAAAAAAACAATTACTTTCTAATTGGAGGGTTTAAGGTGGGGAAAAGCAGACAGAGCTCTCAACTCGCTAGGAACGGAAACACCCTCCATGTTTATTGCACCTGTGTCTGAAACATAATAAGCTGGATTGTAGCTTTGACATGAAATGTAAATAAAAAGTAGATTAGCTGTTAGTATAAACAAAGTAGCCTTTAAATATAGACATAAAGGTATACTATAGAATATTCGTTAAACCGATTCAGAACTATGATTCTGATACAGCTTTGTGTGCAAAAAAAAAAAAATATCAAGTTATTTATTATTGTGCTCATATCAAAAGCAGAAATGATTAAGAGGATCTCGGGCTCAATAATTCATTGCGTTATACTGTGCAAAAGCGAAGTAAAAATAACGCAAGACATTACCTCTAATAATACAAACTCAATACTTGAGACGCATTGTAAATTGAATATGTGGGGACTTTCTTCAAGTTTACATATACAGGGTGGCTGAAAATTATTTTGCACCCCCTCTACTTTATAACTTTTAGGGATATTTGAAATTGGTTTGCAGCAACATTCTTAGATATAAGGAGTTACGATAATTATGGTCGTTTAAAAAAAAAATACCTTTGGGGTTAGTGGGGGTAGGGGGTGGCTTAAATTTTCTAATACTGTAGGAGCAATATTTTATTTTTATATAGTTTTACAGGTCTTATTGAAACTAAACATTTGATATAAAGAGAAAAATCTAATTTACAAAACTACTTTGTGTAGGCCTTAATGTTAGTTTTTACCATTTTTCGAATTTTAGATTTTGTTCAAAGGAACAAATCTATGCTAGACAAGTTTACAACGAGATAACATTGGATGTTCGAATAATTTGTTAAAAGAATATGTGTTACGTACTTCAAGTGTTTAAATATTTAAAAGTGTTTACTCATAAGGCTAAAGAAATTACCAGAAGTAAGCTAGCCTGACCTGAGCTGTTTGTTAGAGGGCCGCTAGTAGAGCTAGCGTCAACGCTATTGCCCATGACATTGTAGATTTGAGTATGTTCAGCCCGCTGCTACCTGTAAATGTTCAGCAAATAAATGCACCTGAGTTATATCCTTAGTAATAGTAAAAATAATATTTAACAAGATAAGAAGTTTTGCTTTTATTTTTAAGCTAAAAAAAGTTGAAATTAAGTTACCTTTGTGAATTCAAGTACTTTTTAAACTAATTTTTCCCCAAACACAATTTGGAGAAGGTGTCTTGAAGTAAAAAAATATTGTTTATAAGTTTGACACACTTTAAAACATTTCAAATATAAACTTCCGATAACAAATAGGGAATCAACCAGCTGGATGACACCATTAGTACAATAAAATACCACATTATGTTGTTAAACTCAAATAATGTAAAACATATAGCTCTAAACCAGCAATTTATTATTACCAGCAATTATTTCAAAATTGTGTGACAATCTCATTCACTTGGTGATTTTTTTTCTATCATTATAAATTTGTAACAGTACTTTTATGAGTGGGAATAAGTGGATAATCTTTGGTGGATATGATGTAGCTTTTTTATTGGCCTTCTAAAAAAACTTCCATTAAAGTTAAATGTTTGAATGATAATTATACTACCATTATTGCATATTATTATTAATTTGATATGTTCAAATTTGTGATCATCGTTTGGGACATCTAACCAAAGAAAAGTAAAGCACATAAAATAATCTTATAGTTTGCAAATTTGTCAAAAACTGTGAACAATTTCTTACAACCTAAGCTCTACAACCTAAGCTAATTAAGGGCTCCACCTTACATTTCCAAAATTTACATTATTTCTTTAACTAATTGAAACAGATTTGTTTATTTACTTGACACGAGTTTTAATTATGCTTTACATATATCGAGGAAATTTTTAGGTTATTTTTTGAAAACATTTATAAATATTTTGTAAAATTTCGCTCATAGTATACTGTGATTTATCCAATAGTACATAAATTGTATATTTCATCGCAAGGGTAGAAGGTGAGTCATTTCATATTTGAGACCATGTTTGAAGTGTGAGATTTACGGGGCACATTAAATGGTCAAGAATAGTATAGACCCACTTTCACTCATGTTTTGAACGTTACTTTTCGCTGCACTACAAAGACTAATTATTTTCTTAATTAAAACAGACATTGAATATTTCTTTATTACAGATAGACACGTTACAAAACTCATAGCATTTTTTAGATTGCCAAAAACATTTTTTAGGTAAAATAATTTTAAAACGTTTTACACAATTTGTAAACTATTTTAGGTTGTCTTCAATTTAATGTTAATATTTACATTGATTGTGGAGTTGGTTGTTGCAAATTGAAACAGTAACAAATCTTTGTTAATTTACGTCGGCAAAAAAATTAAACATTACTTTCGCATAGTAAACATTTTTTCCGTAGTAAGTAATGTAATAATGAATTTTTGCAAGAGATAAACATGTTACGAAAACAGGTCATTTCACATTAGTGTTGCGAAAAGTTTCTTTTGGATCAATTAAATTTAAATATAAGTATGTAAGTAATACTGTATGTTATAAAAGTCAGTAGGTCTATACTTTTATATTACTTTATATTTTTAACTTGAATCATGGAGTTATAGTATTTTTAAATACGCATCAGCGTCGTGATTGGTTGCCTACATAATTTAACCCCCTTGCCTAAATGTATAGAAAAGATTTTACCTCCCTAAGAGCTTAAACTTAAATCAATTAAGTTATTTATCGAAACGAGTAATATGTGTGTACCGTAACTATTTCATGCAAGAGATCCAAGCATTATTATCTTTCTAGTCGTTTCCCTGTTACTAAAGACGGATATAGCAGATCGTAACTAATGATAGCGTAAATATTCAAAACGTCTCTGACTTGAATAATCGATAAGTCTGTACATTTTACTCGTACAATGCATATCGATTACGTCAGCAAGATCGTTGAGCTGATGTTGCAGCGATTCTGCAATTGTCTCTTAAAGCTGTAACATCGACAGTTCTGTAATTACTGTACTACCTAAAACTAGTAGTTTACTCCGAGTTATCAATAGGTTGTGAGGATACTTTATACATATGCTCAGTTAGAAATTTTAAGTAGTTTTATCCTTTAAATTATTAGCTTATTTTTACTTATTGAGAGACTAAGTAATACCTATCTTACCGGTGAACGTATTTAACATATTTTGTCAACAACTTGTTATTATAATTTTGCAAACATTAACACGTGTCTTGTCTTTTATTATGCAAAGCTATATTTAAGCTGTCCATGATAATATTGTTGTATGATAATTTTATGTCTGTTACCTGAGATGTAGCTCGCCATGCTGCCTGAAAAAAGTCATTTTTTTATATTGGGCAAATACATTAAATCTTTAAATTTTCAAATAATGCATCTAATATCAAATACTGTTAAATATTCAATCGTGAACCCAATATAACAAACCAAAAGTTTCCTAGGGTGTGTTACACTTATACAAAACCTACCTATACACTTACAGAGAATTTGTGAAAATAATCTGTTTAACTGTTAATGTTACTGTATGTTAATGAACATAGCTATATTTGATAATGTACTTGGTAGTTATTCAATGGTAACATATTGTTATTATAGTATAAGCATTGATTATAAGTATACTAACAGTAAACTGTGTAGTTCAGCTCTTACACTGTTTAATTAGGGCTAGGTTTATGGTAAGGATGTTGGATGTTTCTAAATTTGTTGGATTTTAAGTCAGACAGTTGCTGACGCACAAAGATTTCTAAGAACTTATACTTATGTACTGAAAGGCAGCAACAATGACTTAAAATCGTCATCCTAAGAAAACGGACTCATATAAATATACAATGGTTACAAAACTACTCAGGGGAAAATCGTAGAATCAATCATTTTTATAACATTGGTCATAAGACTAAAAGTCATTTCTGATTTCCATTGGATACACTTACCTGACTTTATATTCCAACGAACTCGTTGATTAGGGGACCAAAGTAAATCTAATTTACTAATCATTTTTAAACTCCGTCGAAGATTTCAACTAGGTAGCCGAAATCATATTCTTAAAGACTTTTGGTGTTTAAGCACAATTATTTAAAAAGTTATTGCTGACAAAAAAGTTAATCAAATCAAATCAATTCCATTGGATAACATCCATATGTTCTGTATTTTTTAAGTAGTCATTTATGAGAAAATCTTTGGTTTCCATATTATTTTACTCACATAATATACCACAGTTATCATTTGTACCCTTCAAGAAAGTTTTTTATTTGTCTCGTTCTATTTTTCTCAAATTGCACAACGATGTACACACCTAACTACGACTATAAGATTTTTGTTCAATTTTAAAGTCCCCGTAAAAGTAATTACGACTGAATTAAAACTAAGTTTTTTTCTTCCATCAAAAAATCAAAAAATATTTGTAAGAGTAATGAGGAGTGTACCCGGGTAGTAGACGAGGCGTTTCCTCCTACAATACTCAGTGGTGGGGATGCATACTTCGCAGATGAAGGTGGTGGGAACATGGAGGTCCAGGTCTGCGAACACAGCAGATGCGAGGATGTCGTAGTGGCCGGTCTTGGAACTAGTCTCCACCGTCACACCCTGCAGTGGCTTACTGTACAAACATACGATCAGTAGTTGAGCGGAAAACATTGCTAAGTCTCAGATTTACCATTGAGGATGCCATGTCGTCGCAATGGTAATACGTTTGGTATTGTACGTCTTGGTATTGTAAATAGTGTAAATACCAATTTGACGCAGCTCTCACCGGTAGACCAAGGATGTCTTTGCTCATATTGACATTAAAATCATTAAAATATTGTCATTAAAATGTTTGAAAAACAATTGAGATTTTAAAGATAGCAATGGTGTAACATACAATTAAACATTGAATGACATTGGTCAGTATTATTTTTTTTCTAAATTAAGCATCTAGTGATTGAGGAAGCATTGCCATGGTTAATTTGTTTTCAGTAGTTTGATTTTGAGTTTTAATTGGAATCATAGGTTCAGGTCCACCTATCTTTAGTTGTCATTAGGAGCATATTTAGACCATACTCTATCAAACAGCGAGTCACGAATTTCTATAAACATTAATAAAAGGAGAATGGAAAAGTGATGATAAATAGATCGGGAGAATATATTGCAATACGTCACTTTCGAGTCAACTAGATAGATCGTCAAGGAGTATGACTGTGATAACTGAGAGGCAGGTATTCCTCTAAAATGCTGTGAATATCTCATTTTGTAAAAATGTAATGTATAACTAAAAATGAAATTACAGTACTCACAAATTGTATTACACATTTATTCAATGGTTTGATTGACAACAAAATATTCCTTCAGCATATCTTTTAAAATTGGCAAAACCAAACTAGCAAAAAAAAAACTATATAGTTCAATAAATCACAGTACCATACTTTATGTAGCCTACTTAAGAAATTGCACAAGTCATATTGCTCATTGCACGCCCACATTTGGTTCTGTCTATCAAGTTTTATTATACTGTACATGAGACTTTGTGCACGCGTACTGAGAGACAACACGTATTTCATGAAGTCAACGTGTGTGGTTTAAATACCTGATCTTCGGCGTGTAGGGGTCCCTGTACAGCGCTATGCGCGGCTCCGGATATAGACCCCACGCTCTGCACGTCACATTTACATGCTCGGGGTCTGGCTTGGCCTGTACCATCTCCATCTGCTTCTCTGGAGCTGTAACAGACAACAGTGGACACGCCTTGCTTAACTCCTTAACTGTGAAGTGTAAAGCATTATTTGTTGCATTTATTCAGTTTCATGATATTCATGCACAGTTATGTTTATAACTGAATGAAGCAGTATAGGAGTTTTAGCAGTATAGAAAATGTACAAAGTCGAGATTAAATTAATTTGGCACAGAGTAAATCAACAGAGGCTTAACCAACGAGACGTTTCATTCCATGGAAAAATGTGTGTTTGCTTAAAAAAATATATACAGAATTTGGTTATGTAAAATTTGTTAAACATTTTCTCTACCGGGCTTAATTTAAGAGACATATTTTTATGTTTGTATTTTTTATGGTTGGTACAAAATATGCTGTTAGTTGTAACATTTTATACAAGAATGATTACAAAATGTTATGCATGGAATATATTATTAAAAGTCAAGCCTATGGATGTAATGCGGATGTGGATCTTTACCGTAGACAATCATCTTCTCGATCATGAAGTCCTCGTCAGTGAAGGTAGAGACAGCACAGCGGTACTCGCCGCTCAGCTCGGTGGTGGGGTTGACGATGCTGAGGGCGCGGTACATGGTGGCGTTGTTGTCGGAGGCCCGGTGGTCCAGGTTGAGGCGACCACGGAGGATGCCCAGGTCTTGAGGCCGCTGACTGGGGATCCACTGGTACACGGGGGCCGGGCCGTTGTTGAAGAACCACTTGACTACCAGCCCAGAGTCACCCTGTAGATCTTTGGGGTCGAGAGTGTACTGACAGTCCAGCACTGCCAGCCCAGAGTTGTTGACCACGTACTGAGGCACCACCAGCGAGGTGATTTGTAGACCTCTGATTTCTGAAACAAAACAGTGCAACATGCTTCAAACACTACTTAAATATAGAAAATTACATTTTATTTGGCCATATTTTCATTATGTTGTCAATATAAGCTAAGCACATTTAATTTGTCAATGCTAACAATTCGTTTGCTGCCTACTACCATTGACTATTGTACAGTATTACTACTTATCTTTTGAGTATACCGTTTTCGAATATATAGAGTTTTCATAAAATACAGTAATGGGGTTTTAACTGTCTGTAAAACTATTTTAAGACAAATTAATTATTTCATATTGATACCCCTGTATCCGGTACCTCAAACCGTTTTGTTTACATTAACCAAAAAAGCTTTGTTGTGCTAATCGACAACGTATTTATTCTCTGGAATAAACTTCAAGTTGTGTTTTTGACCAAATATTTTCGATAAAGAAAAGGTAAAGTGAAGAAGAATATTTACAACGGGTATTTCGAAGAACATTTAACAAAGTTCCACCTTACAAAAATAACATTCGTCGTTGGAGTGAGCAGTTCATACACACTGGGTCAGTTAAAAACCAAAGTAGGCCTGGTAGATTGCCAGTCTCGAACCGTTTATGTTGAACCAAATAGCGGGAAACAAATCATTTTTTAATTAAGTTTTTTTTTTCAGATGAAGCCACGTTTCACACCAAAGGTTGATTAATAGGCACAAGCTCTTTAGAATTTGGTGGTTACCGTATCCTCATGAAATATTTGAAAAGGAAAGAGACTCACAGAAAATAAACGTTTGTTAAGTTCTTAAACAGGTGAGTTGGTAGATGTGGCCCTATAGCATGGCCTCAAATAAGCCCGGACCTGACTCCATGTGATTTAGTTTTTTGGGGGAAAGGCCCAAATATGGTTATTCTAAAAAAATCGAAGTTTGGCCTATCTAAGATAGAAAGAATCAGATATGCCGTCCCACTACAAAAAGAGAAACGCTGCACAACAGTTATGCTGAAATAGATCATCGTCTGGACAACGTAGAGCAAGAAATGATGGCCATGTTCGAGTTTATTAGCTATGTACAGTTTACGATCTTCTTCATGTCATGAATTCAACAAAACTAGAGGTCGTCCAGTGGTCGAAAACTCGACCATAAATTTGTACAGTTGGATTTTTTAGCTAGAAGCGGTTGAGGTATGGTGGAATATCTTTGCGGATGAACCTTTCTGATGTAGGCTGTAATGAGTGCGATCCATCGATGTATATAACCTAACATCGATGGTGTTAGGTAATATACATCGATGGTGCGATCATGTATTCTATGTTCACATGTCAATCTTTGAGGTCAAATCAAAACAAACAAACTGGCATGTTGTCAATTAGGGACAATGTTACTTACGAAAGAAATTTAATTTAAGACCAAATAAATTAATTTAGTATATATCATTGTCTGATTTACTAGAAAACATTCAGTATTTAGGCTACTGCATTTTATAAACCAAACTCGAATCTTGCTTCCTTAGCCTCTGCTTCTAAATTTATCGTATAAGGTTTTCCGATTCGTAAATTATCATTATGTCCCAACAGTTTATCATGTGTATCGCAGTCACAGCAACTACATTATTTAATTAATATAATGATTAACAATAATTTTGCAAGAAGATTCAATATTTTAATATCTGCTCATGTTAAATAAATTTTTTTCAAAGCAACCATCACTTAATTTTAAGGCAAAAATTAAATAACAATTTATTCATTAGTAGATTTGGAACTAGGAATCATGTCTCTATTTCACAGTAAAGTTATTTTATTAAAGTAGAGTAAGTATATTTAACCATTGTAAAATTACAAGATTTTGCCAGTTTGTTTGTTTTTATTTAACCTAAAAAATTGAAACGTAATGAACACATGATAAAAAGGATAATCTTCAAAGATATTTCACCACACCTTAACCGCTTCTAGCTAAAAAAAATCAAATTGCACTGTACTTGGCCAATTGGCCTACTTCCCTATTTTCACCTCAAACTGTAAATAAAACATGTGAGTGGAATTTCTTACATTTTTGTTTTGATTTTCTGTTTATATTTAGTTGTTGTTTTGTCACCAGCATGGCAACGCCTAAAGCCCATGGTCATTTTTTGTTAATTTCAAATTCATTTTTTTACTTATCTTTGAGCCTATTTTAATTGATAAAGGGGTTCTGTACACCTACAGGAAAATAGCTTTCTAAGAGTATGTGTAGATTTTCCCTGGGATGCAAACGAGCTGAGTAAAAAGGTTTTAAAGAAACAAGCTTGCCTATTAATATATAACTAGTGGTCGTTCAGTGGTCGAAAACTCGACCAAAAATATGTAATGTGCAAGCATTGACTATAGGATACTGAAGTAGACATCCAATCTATATGGACGACCCGTCGCCACTTTTTATTTAAAAAAAAACTTATAGTTGTGTGAGCCAGTCACAGAATGCGTGTCTAAAATTATATTTTCAACCTTATTTTTTTTTTGCTGACCAAAATGTTGATGGGTCATAACAGTTGCTACAGCTAATAATAAGTCATTCCATAAGTTCGACTCGGTAAAAACATCGTGTATTCCTAAGAAATTAGTGATTTCGATCAGCGCAATCTGTTGGTGGCTCACATCAACGACGGCGAATTTAATTAAAATACTGGCAACAACAACTAACATGTGGATGAATTGTCTGGTTGTAAGTCCAAAGTACATACATGCTTCTCTATTTTTACCATCGATCTCTAGAGATCGATGATTTTTACCCGACGCTGTAAATAAAACATGTGATTGTAATTTCTTCCATTTGTTTTGATTTTGTGTTTATATTTCGTCGTTGTTATTTGACGTTATTTCCTCACCAGCATGGCAACTTATAAGGCCATGTTAATTTGTTGGTATTTAAATACATTTTTTGTTCTTATTTTTGGGTCTATTTTAATTTTTAAAGGGATTCTGCATATCTACAGGAAAATATCTTTCTAACAGTATGAGTAGATTTCCCCTGCGATGAACACGAGCTGAGAAGAAAGGTTTTAAAGAAACATGCTTGCCTATTAATATACAGGGTGGCTGAAAAGTAACTTGCACCCCCACTTAACTTTTCAACCATTTGAGATATTTGAAATCGGTTTGCGGCAACCTTCTTAGATATGAGGGGCTACAATAATTATGGTCAATTTTAAAAATTTTGCCCTTAGGGGTAGCGGGGGTAGGGGTAGCTCAAAATTTTCAAATAGCAAGTATACCTAGTCGAGTTTGGTATCATTTGTAGGTCTTGACAAAACATAACAATTAACATAAAGAAAATAGAAATCGGACCATTATTACAAAATGGCAGTTCAAAATTACTTTAAATAACCATTTCTCAATCATTTTTAGCTGCCAGCTGCCATTTTGTTAATAATGGTCCGATTACTTTTTCTTTATGTTATTTGTTATGTTTTGTCAAGACCTACAAAATGATACCAAACTCTACTATACTTGCTATTTGAAAATTTTGAGCCACCCCCTACCCTAGCTACCCCTAAGGGCAAAATTTTCAAAATTGACCATAATTATTGTAGCCTTTCAAATCCAAACAATTTGCCGCAAACCGATTTCAAATATCTCAAATAGTAACAAAGTTAAAGAAGGTGCAAGTTAATTTTTTTGCCACCCTCATGGTTATTTGGATTTGAAACGTTTTAGGGCGCCATTTTGTTATTAGTGAGCCAATTTTGGTTTTCTTTATGTCAATGTTTATGTTTTGTCAAGACCTGTAAAATAATACCAAACTCGACTATACTTGTCATTTGAAAATTTTGAGCTACCCCCACCCCCCCCCCCCACCACTACCCCTAAGGGCAAAATTTTCAAAATTGACCATAATTATTGTAGCCCCTCATATCCAAACAAGTTGCCGCAAACCGATTTCAAATATCTCAAATGGTTGAAAATTTAAGTGGGGGTGCAAGTTACTTTTCAGCCACCCTGTATAGATAGATAAATAAATATTTGTTATATGTTTTCTCATTTTCTTTTTATTTCATAACAGATCCCATGATTTTTAAATGCTCCCAAAAATGTTGACATCCCAAAAAAATGACACTCAAAAATGTTAAATGTGAACCCCCATTTAGTGACACTTCGTTTTGTAGTGTTTACAAAAACTTAAAGAATGGTGAAAACCAGAGTTCGCTATCTCTTCTCTATCCAAAATGGTAGCCAATATTACCATTACGAACCAATTTTACCATTGATTTTGATTTCAAAATAATAAAATGAATCTTCCTGCTAAGATTGCACGACCACCAAAAGGATATCTCTGTATATTTACTTGGAAAAATATTGGAGGGGGGGAGTCTTGACTTTTTATTCACCCTGATAACATAGTGCTTTTATGACTATTAAATTAACGTCCCTTTTTGACTATTTGTATACTTTTTTACCGATATGTTTTTAAGGAAAGTATAAATTGGCCATACAAAGTTTGGTAAGAAAATTGCCTCTAGTAATGTGAATATACCGCTTAGGGTTTATGATATCGCATAACAAAGTCGCATTACGTTACCAGTTGCATGGATCTGTGTTGTTTGGAGAACCGCTCGCCTGCCACAAGCGGCATATAAATAGCTGCTTAACTTGTATACCCACTTAACATACTGCTAGAGACGGTCGCTAATGGTGTCTATTAGTTTATCACCTTTAATGGGTGAATTTTGTATAAGGATTGGTTTTTGCTTCCTCCCCGACCACAATAAATCTCTGAATTAAAGATTTTACGAAAATACAGAGATAAGATTTAATCTTTAGTGTCCTAGGGATTCTTTGAACACGAGCTTAAGTTTAACTATAAACAAAAGTTAAAGTCATCAAATGAGTGAAGTCAAATCCAGATAAATGATACATTTTTGTATATTTCGATTAGTCTCGATATTGAAAATAGGATATTTATCATGGAGAATAATAACATACTACAACAAAAGAGACAACCAAGCACCTGATGCCTGAATACCTTAAACATGTTACGTGGTCATAGACACCGATATATTTTATTAC